GTGTACCCTTCTTCCAATTTCTCTCCTCATAGGATACTCTCCTTCGTGGGCATGAGCATCTGTGTGGCGCTCATGTTCATCTCCTCCTGGTATTACGCAATTATTGCAATGGTGATAGCTGGCATGATCTACAAATACATTGAGTATCATGGGTGAGTTGCTCCTGAACTGTTTTGGATTGGTTCTGTGTGGCCTTTGCTCAGCGAGGATTTCTTGTCGTTAGAGTTACTCCCTCCCTAACCCCGATCCTAACCCCTGCCTTAACTTAATAATAAGCACCTGGGTTCTGCATACAAGGCCTGAATACATGTTTTGCTCCGTTTGCAACAATTCTGGAAAGGACAGGCTTACTGTGACAAGCTTGTTTGGCTGAACTGTGCTTCCCTTGCAGGGCTGAGAAGGAATGGGGAGATGGCATCCGTGGCTTGTCCCTGAGTGCTGCCCGTTTTGCTTTGCTGCGCCTTGAGGAGGGGCCACCACACACCAAAAATTGGAGGTAGGGAAGCCACAGACTGCTTTCGGACTCTTGTTGCCTCAACATGGGGCAATGCTGCATAGAAAACACAAACTCAAATTCAGAATAGAGCTGGAAGGGACCGTGGAGGTCTTCCAGTCTAATCCCCTTGCTCAAACAGCAGACCCGGTACCAGGCTTGTCAAACTGGCGGCCGGCGGCCTAGATACGTCACGTGTAGGCCACGCCCACCCCGGCTCATGCAAAGGCAAAAAACATCGTGATCAGGCCCGTGACATGACCGAGTTTGACACCTGTGCCCTACACCATTTCAGACAATACACAGTCTCTTTTGAAAAACCTCCAGTGATGAACTGCCCGTAACCTCTGAAGGCAGGCTGTTCCACTAGTTAATTGTTCTGTTAGGAAATTTCTCTTTAGTTCTAGTTTGCTTCTCTCCTTGATTAGTTTCCATCCATAGTTTCTTGTCCCACCCTCAGGTGCTTTGAAAAATAAGCCAATTCTCTCTTCTTTGTGGCAGCCCCTCAGATACTGGAATACTGTTATCATCCCCCTAATCCAGTGGTTCTCAACCTTCCTAATTTCACGACCCTTTAATACAGTTCCTCATGTTGTGGTGACCCCAAAACATAAAAAAAAAAATTCATTGCTATTCTATAACTGTACATTTGCTACTGTTATGAATCATAATGTAGATATTGATATTGGAAGACTGCTATCATATCACCCTTAAGCCCTTCTTTTCATTCAACCAGACATACCCAGTTCCTGCAACTGTTCTTCATATGTTTGAGCTTCCAGTCCCCTAGTCCTCTTGGTTGCTCTTCTTTGCACTTTTTCTATACTAGAGTCTCCACATCTTTTTTATAGAGGCAGCCAACATATTGTCTGCTCCTAAATTTTGGGTCTGAAAAGAATCACATACTGGAGGTTGGACAACCTCGGCTGCTATATAACCATACACACACATTCACAGAGACACACAGTGGCTTTATTCCCACAGCCTTCTTAACTAAGTTGCCTGCAGCTGCATTCACAAACTTGCTTACCCTCCCTGGATGGATCTTCAACCTGGTTTGGGGTTGTTTGCAGGAGTGCTCTTAACCTTGGTGGTGGTGGTAAGCTTAACCTTAATTTATTGGGCAAACGTTGTGCATTGTTTATTTTTTATTTTTTAAAGTTTTTTATTTTTTCTTTCAAGTTCATTCACAAATATACACTCTTATAATTACCATTAATTATATCATTATCATTAATCATTTATCGTTATTTTCTTAACAAATATATAGAATACAGTTTGGGTCACTTTCTTGCCACCCCATTTTATTTTGCAACAACCTTGCTCCTTCTGTCTTCTTTACCTCCCTTCTCTGCCTTCTTCTTTCCTCCTCTCCCTCCCTTCTTCTTCCCCTCTCTTTTCTTCCCTCCTCCTCTTCTCCTCCTTCTTACCCTCTCTCCTACTTTTACTTCCCCTCCTTTGCTTCCTCTGCTTTAACCCTTTCTTCCTTTCCCTCCTCCTCCTTCCTCCCTTCTTCCCGCTTTCCTCCCCTCCTCCTCTCTTCTCACCCTCTCTCCTACTCTTAATTCCCCTCCTTTGCTTCCTCTGCTTTTACCCTTTCCCTCCTTCCTCCCTTCTTCTTCCCCTCTCTTTCCTCCCCTCCTCCTCTCTTCTCCCTTCTGCCCTCTCTCCTACTCTTGATTTCCCTTCTTTGCTTCCTCTGCTTTACCCTTTCTTCCTTTTCCTCCTCATCTTCCCTCCTTTCCGTTGTTGCCCTTGCTTATTTACTTTCTCTCATGGGTTCTCAGAGTGGCATTTTAGGAAATCCAACTTTATATTTTCATACATATCATTTCCTCTGTTATTTTATTTCTAATATTAATTCCACTTGTATCATTTTTTAAATTGTTATCTTGCATTGCATTTTTTTCTCTTTTCCTTTGTGCATGGTTTATGGTACTTTTAGCAAGCAGGTTTTCATTGTGTGAATGGGGCCAATTCAGGCTCCTGAGCTTGGCTCTTGATGACAGGTCTGGTTGTGGATTTAGATATAGTTAAAAGTACCTGGCAGCGGCATGGAAAACATAGCTGAGCACACGCCCCGCACAATTATAGGCCGGAGCAGGACCTAAGCCCCTCCCTCCCTCACAGGAACACTTTCCCTCCATTACGAAGTCTCCAGGGCTAATTATACGGGGCGTGCATGCGCACCTATGTTTTTTACGGCGTGGAGCCACAGCGACGCTCTGCGTGGCCATTCCGGAGCCCATCCACGCGGATTTCAAGGAATGTGAGGTGGATTCTAAACTCTAGCGCTGGTCTCAGTGACCCCTGTGAATTGGTCATTCGACCCCAAAAGTCCTTCTTTTCTCTAGATTAGACAAACCCAAATCCTGCAACCATTGCTCATGTTTTTAGCCTCCAGGCCTTTAATCATCTTGGTTGCTCTTCTTTGCACTTTTTCCAAAGTCTCAATGTCTTTTTTAACACTGTGACTAAAACTGGATGCACTATTTCAAATGTGGGCTTCCTAAAGTTTTATCAAACGGAATACTTACGCATGTGGATTTACCTGTATCATTTGCTGCAGAATAAATTCTTACACCTGTGTGCTTTGGGGCAAAAGTCTAAATTCATCTGCTCCTTCAACTCTTTAACATGTGCATGTTGCGCTTCCATTTCTCTCCAGGCCACAATTGTTGGTGCTGTTAAAGTTGGATGAGGATCTCCATGTGAAGCATCCACATCTGCTCACCTTTGCTTCCCAGCTGAAAGCTGGCAAAGGACTCACTATTGTAGGTTCGGTCATGGTGGGCAACTTCCTGGAGTGTTACAGTGAAGCACTGGCTGCTGAACAGGTGAGATTTCATGGAAGTGCATTTCAGCTGAGCGGGTGCCACCGTTTAAGGTAGGACACTACAAGAAGAGCAGCTATATCAGTGTAAAGCAAAGCTTTTGGATAATTAGAGACAAGAAAATTAGGAGAACGCCTGATATTTCATCTTTCAGTTGGTTCAGTGATGTCTCTTCTCCAGCTAACATGTTTCCCAAGAGCTCAGGAATTAAGCTGCCCTTCGCAATCTGGCTACCTAAAATCATCTACCTGTACTTTTGTTAAAAGGGGTTTTTCAAGCTTGCCATATCATGAAATGTAAATTAGAATTTTGTGTTCAGTCAAGCTAACATTGTTGGATGATGCCATCATAAGGTTAGAATAGAATAGAATAGAATTGGGAACAGAAATAGAAACAAACCCTGGAAGTCCTTGCCCAACACCCAGCTCAGGCAGGAAACCCTGTACCAGTGATCGCTAACCTTTTTGTCCTCAGGTGCCAAAAACACAACAATGTGTGCGGGTGTGCCCACATCCACAATGCAATGCGCTCCGCCTCTTATGCATGCGTGCATGAACACACACACATCCTGTGCCCCATTTGGGCCTAGCAGGCATCCCTGAAGCCTCCTGGGACCAAACACAGGCGGGAGAGGGGTCACTGCAACCCCCCGCACCTCATTTTGAGCCTAGCAGGCCTCCCTGAAGCCTCCTGGGACCAAAAATGGGGCACGGGGGAGCACCACTCCCCCCAGCCCATTTTGGGCCTAGCAGGCTTCCCTGAAACTTACTGGGTCCAAAAACTGGATGTGAGGGGCATGCCGCACCACCTCCATCCTCCCTCCGCACATACGCACGTCTCCCCTATGTGCAGCAGAGACCCAAAAATTAGCTGGCCGGTGGGAGGCGTGCGTGCCATAGGTTTGCCGTGTTAACAGCATCTATAGAGAGCATCTAATATCTAAAGGTAACCCATGACCTACGACCACAATTGAATTTTTTTTGCGGCTAAGCGAGACAGTTGTTAAGTTGTTTGTCCCATTTTGCAAGATTTCCTGCCACAGTGGTTAAGTGAAACACTGCAGATGCTAAGTTAGTAAGACCGTTGTTAAGTGAAAGTGGATTCCCCATTGACTTTGCTTATCAGAAGGTCTCCTACAGGGGATCGCATGACCCTGCGCACGGCAACCATCATTAAATATAAACCAGTTGCCAATCATCCAAGTATTGATCACGTGACAGTATGCTGCGATAGTCAGAAGCGTAAAAAAAGTCATAAGTAGCTTTTCAGTGTAGTCGTAACTGAATGGTCAGAAAACAAACCGTTGTAAATCAAGGGCTACCCGTATATTACAGATTTTCGCTCTTCTTCAGAACGGAATCATCAGATACTTTCTAATTAATCCATGCACTGTGTTCAGGTCTAAAGGACCATCTTTATATGTAAATCCTCATAGCTCTACATTACAATATAGGTCCATGATGGCACGCATGCCCAAAGTAGCATGCAAAGCCATGTTGCCCGGCACACCCAGCCTTGCCTGTTTGTTTTCTGGGGTGCATATGCGTGCGACAATCAGCTCTCCTTCGCGCACATGGCTGTGCCGAAAACCAGCCTGCACATGTGGGCCAACAAGCTGATGGTTGGTTGGCCCCTGGAGGTTTGGCTTTTCTGGAGCGCGGCTTCGACGAGGGTGCGTGCCCACTTCCGTGCGACCTTTTCAGCACTTGGTGCCAAAAAGGTTCGTGGTTGCTGATATACGTAGTCCCCAACTTGCGACCACAATTAAGCCCAAAATGTATGCCGCTAAATGAGAAATTTATTATGTTGAGTTCTGGCCCATTTTACAACTTTTCTTGCCACATTCTTGTAAGTGAATCGCTGCAGTTGTTAAATTAGTAAACCAGTTGTTGAATGAATCTGGTTTCCCCATTGACTTTGCTTGTCAAAGGGGACAACCGTCAAAAATGTGAATAAGTTGTGAAGCAACTGAATGTAAATCACGTGGCCATGAGGATGCTGCAGCTGTCATAAGTCTGGAAAAATAATCCTAGGTCACTTTTTTCAGTGCCCTTGTAACTTTGAGTGGTCATTAAGTAAACTGTTGTAAGCCAAGGATTACCTGTGAAGTTTCCTCTGAGTAGCTTTTTGCAGCTTTGCCTTTAAGCTGCTTTAAGAGCCGTGGTGGCGCAGTGGTTAGAATGTGGTACTGCAGGCTATTTCTGCTGAATACCGGTTCCCTGCAGTTTGACGATTTGAATCTCACCAGGCCGAGTCAGCCTTTCCATCCTTCCGAGGTGGGTAAAATGAGGGCCCAGATTGTTGAGTGCAATAGGCTGATTCTGTAAACTGCTTAGAGAGGGCTGTGAAGCACTGTGAAGCGGTAAATAAGTCTAAGCGCTATGGCTATTGCTATCTTGCTGGGCTTCACCCGCCCATGAAAAATCCAGCTTTCCCTTTTTGTCTTAAGTGCTTTTGCTGTTGCTGTTTCAGACCATCAAACATCTGATGGAGGCAGAACGTGTGAAAGGCTTCTGCCAGATCGTGGTGGCTGCCAAGGTGCGAGAGGGCATCTCTCACCTCATTCAGTCCTGCGGGCTGGGCGGCATGAAGCACAACACGGTGGTGATGGGCTGGCCAAATGCCTGGCGCCAGAGTGAGGATGCCCGTGCTTGGAAGACCTTTATTGGTACGGTTTCCCTATGGGGCAAAGCAGTTGTGGGGCGTGAGGTCCCGAGAGTCAACCAAACCAATTGCGTAAGTTCCTCTTCCTGTTCTCCAGGCACTGTCCGCGTGACCACCGCTGCCCGCCTGGCCTTGCTCGTGGCAAAGAACGTGGCTTTTTACCCTAGCAACGCAGAGCCTTTTTCCGAGGGCAACATTGATGTCTGGTGGATTGTGCACGATGGAGGGATGTTGATGCTCCTCCCCTTCCTTCTCAAGCAGCACAAGGTGATGATGGGCAGGCACTGCTGAGACACGGAGCAGGCGTTAATTGGCAGAGCGGAGTTTACTGATTTCCCTCTCTCCTTGCTTCCAAGGTGTGGCGTAAGTGCAAAATCCGCATCTTTACAGTAGCCCAACTGGAGGACAATAGCATACAGATGAAGAAGGATCTGGCCACCTTCCTTTATCACCTTCGTATCGAGGCAGAGGTGGAGGTTGTTGAGATGGTGAGTGACACAATTTGGTGGGGGGTTAGAAACACATCTAGCAATAGCAGTACCACTTTGACTTATATATCACTTCACAGTGCTTTACAGCCCTCTCTAAGTGGTTTACAGAGCCAGTCTGTTGCCTTGACCCTCCTTTTACTGACCTCAGAAGGATGGAAGGCTTGAGTCGTTGAGACTCGAACTGTGAAATGCTGGCAGTCGACAGTCAGCAGAATTAGCCTGCAGTACTGCATTCTAACCACTGTGCCACCTTGGCTTTGTCTAATGGGGGGAAAAGAGATTAGAGGCATAACTAATAGATAGAAACATATCCAATGAGGGAAAAGAGATTAGAGCTATACAGCTTGTCCTTGACTTAAGACCACAGTTGAGCCCAAAATTTCTGTTGTCAAGTGAGACATTGGTTAAGGAACATTTGCCCCATTTTACGACATATCTTGCCACCATTAAGTGAATCACTGCAGTTGTTAAGTTAGAAACACGGCTGTTAAGTGAATCTGGCTTCCCCATTGACCTTGCTTGTCAGAAGGTTGCAAAAGGGGATCATGTGGCCCTGGGATACCGCAACCATCATAAATACATGCCATTTGCCAATTTTGATTACATGACCATGGGCATGCTGCAACGGTCATTAAGTGTGAACAATGGTGATAAGTCACTTTTTCAGTGCCATCAGCGCTTTGGCCACTAAATGAATTGTTGTAAACAGAGACGTATTTAATTGTGGAAAAAAGGGATTAGAGACACATCTAATGGATAGAGACATATCCAATGAAGAAAAAGGGATTAGAAATATATCTGATGGACAGAGATATATTTAATGGGGCAAAAGGGATTAGAGATATTTGATGGAAGCCACACTCATACTCATTCCTGGTTCCTTTAGCATTGCCCACTACCTGCCCCCAAGTTACAAGTGACTTCTTTCACCATGGGAACAAGGATCAAAAAGAGATGTTTAAAAAATGTGTTCCCTTTCAAGGAAAGAATTATAGGCTGGCTAGTCTTCTTTTGCACAGAATGACTGTAGACATGTATATTCCTAGAGAAGTCCATCTGTGCAGATGTGCCATTGGTTGAAATATGGCTAAGGTTACGAATGACAGAATAATATTGGACCTAGCCAGGGGTTACAATGCAATGCAATGCAATAGCAGAATTGGAAGGGACCTTGGAGGTCTTCTAGCCCAACCCCCTGCCTAGGCAGGAAACCTTATACTGTTTCAGACAAACAGCTATCCAACATCTTCTTAAAGACTTCCAGTGTTGGGGCATTCACAACTTCTGGAGGCAACTTCTGTTCCACTGATTAATTGTTCTAACTGTGAGGAAATTTCTCCTCAGTTCTAAGTTGCTTCTCTCCTTGATTAGTTTCCACACATTGCTTCTTGTTCTACCCTCAAGTGCCTTGGAGAATAGATTGACTCCCTCTTCTTTGTGGCAACTCCTGGATGTTGTGGTTTGTCAGATGAGTCAGAGGAGGCGGAATGGGTGCCTGGAATCGGAGCCTGCGGAAGGCTCTAAGGAGCAAGAGGACTCAGAGCCAGATGGCAGAGCAGGACCCCTCTACTCACGCTCAGGCAGAGAGTATTTTGGGGCCTGAGCTAAGCAAAGGGGAGGAACAGCTGGGTCCCATCCCAGATGCGAGTATGCACAGAGAGGAAAAGGGAGCAATAGAGGGCATGGGGCCGGCTATTCAGGAAAACATGGAGCCGTTAACAAGCCCCTCCCTGGCTGCAACATAAAGAGGAGGGGTGTGGGAGGCGCCGGTTGCTGTAGGCTACCGTCCATGCTACAGGAGATATCCCTCCGTTGAATTTCTTTGCCAGGATTTCTTTGCCAATACTCAGGTTGCTCAGGACTCTTTGTGTTGGGATAGAGGTGCTAATGGAGGCTCCCTGTGGGGAACTCAGAGACATTGCAATTAGCTCAGCTGGTGTGAGCAGAGACTGCTACTGCTTGTTGAAACATCTAAGGACTGGTTACCTGGGGTTTTGTCCATGAATGCATTTTATTCCTGCCTTGTCAAATAAGAAGGATTTTTTTCCTCACAAGGAAGCAGTTGAGTAGTACTCGAGAAAACTGGGTCAGAATGTGGGGCTGGGAGGGTTGTCCAATATCAGCTGTCCCTTTTCTTCTCTTGCAGCATGACAGCGATATCTCTGCCTACACGTATGAACGCACTTTGATGATGGAGCAGCGCTCTCAGATGTTGCGCCAAATGCGCCTCTCTAAAACAGAACGGGAACGTGAGGTGAACTGGGCTGAAACAAAGGTGGGAAAAATAGGCTGAAAAAGAGCAACCGATTTGGGTTTCTTTTTCACTAAAGCATCAGTGATGCCATCCTTGTATATAGGCCCAGCTTGTGAAAGACAGGAACTCAATGTTGCGGCTGACCAGCATTGGCTCAGATGATGATGAAGAGACAGAGACCTACCAGGAGAAGGTGCACATGACCTGGACCAAGGACAAATACATGGCTTCTCACGGACACAAATTCAGGACCCTGGAGGGTTTCCAAGATCTGCTCAACATGCGTCCGTAAGATGTCAATTACTGGGTTATTTCTGATATATGTCATTAAACTTTTCCTATTTGCCATTTGTGGTGGCGTAGTGCTTAGAAGGCAGTATTGCTGGCTAATTCTGCTAACTGACAACTGCCAGCAGTTTGGAAGTTCAATTCACACCGGTTCACGGTTGACTCTGCCTTCCATCCCTCTGAGGTTGGTAAAATGAGGACCCAAACTGTTGGTAACAATATGCTGATTCTGTAAACCATTTAGAGAGGGCTGTAAAGTGGTAAGTCTAAGTGCTGTCGCTATTGCTATTCTGCTTCCAAATTCTTCTTGGAAAGTGATACGAAACCTAGCTTAATCTTACCACAATCCTGTCTGGGTTTTATTATAAATGTGTTTCATATTTTCCACCATAGATCTCATTGTTTCCCATGAGTAATGCTCTTCATTTCCAGCATGTGCCAGGGTTCTTCTTGTATTGATTTATTTCATATGGCGTTAATGTTTGGAAATGTTTAGAAATGTTTATTCCATTTGTATGCCTCCCTATTCCCGAGGGACTCAGAGCGGCTAACAAACAAAGGTGGGGGGGGGGGAATACAAACAACAAAACATGTTATGTTAATGCATAACAGCAGTGCATACAATTCACAAAAATGGCATATAAAATGTGTTTCAAAATATAAAACACCCAGGATTGTGAATTATTTTAAAAACCCACAATATTAATGATAAATTAAATTAAATTATGTACTAGAGTGACTAAGTTTATGTCCTGATATCTAGATAGTTTAACCATTGGACAGCAGTGCCCTCGAGGGTGGAGTTCTTGCAGGGTCTGGGGCACCTTTTGAGGGGGCATTCTGTTGTAATATGATCTAAAGCTTACAGGATGGTCCCTTAGTCACAGTATTATCAACCAATCCCCATTTGAATTTCCAATATTGGCACCTGCTGTGGTTGGTTCAGATTTGGTTGAGTGTATTGTAGCCTACCAGTGGTCAGCAGAGCTGGACAGTGAGGTGGTTAGAGAGGAACATGGGCCAGTCCTGGAGGCTGGGAAAGGCTCAGCCAAGGGCTGTGCCTTGGAGGCAGAGATGGGGCCGAGGCTGTTTGGCAGTGATCAGGTACCTATGGAGCTAGACAGTAGTGAGGCAGAGAAACAGCTAGAGCCTGTTTACAGTGTGCGCATGCGCAGATTTGCCAGAAGAAAAGAACAACTCAGAAATCAGGGTAGACTTGGCAGTAAAGTTACAGGAGGAAAGTGATTGGCCCCTCCCATAGGAAATAAAAGAGGAGTGGAAGGGAAGTGGAAGGAAACAATTCGTTCATCGTTAGATTCATTTCGGGAGTGTGAAAATCTGCCCGTGAATCTCAAGAGACTCTGTGCCTAGCCTTTCCTTGCACAGAGCCTCATTTGGAAAATATTTACATGGCAGCTTTCCAAGATTTCACATTCATTTAATAAAAGGGTTTTTTTTCGGGTCCAGGACTCTGCCTTGTGCTTTTTGGGGAAGCCTAGATCAGAACAGAGCGTTGACCTGTTTTTCCTTGGAAGAGGGACATTGTGTTGGGTCGGACACTAAATTAAACAGATCTGGGTTAGAAGTTGCCCATTAGAAGTTTTTGCTAATACTTTTAGTTTGCTTTTCTGCAATTACCATGTCATTCCCTCTTCTTTTAGGGAGGAATGTCTGGCTGTGTTATTTTCAGTTTCTAATCCATAATAAATACCTTATTTTCTTACAAGCCAGTCTTAGGCTAGAGATTAGAAATACTGGTAAAGCTTGCTGTATGGATATATTTATATGGTTTTGCTATTTTGTTCCCCTATCCCCAATTTAGGGATCAGTCTAACGTGCGACGTATGCACACAGCTGTCAAGCTCAATGAAGTTATTGTCAACAAGTCCCATGAGGCTAAGCTTGTGTTGCTGAACATGCCTGGGCC